GGCGGACGGTCTTCAGGGGCCCGACCCGGGCTCGGGCGGGCCAGCGGCGGTGGGCGGCGGCGGCGCCACATGGCGGGCTGCGACAGGTCGGGCGGCGGAGGCGGACGCGTCCGGCGTCGCCCGGACGTGTCCGGCGGCGCGAGGGGAGCGGTGGCTAGGGTTTTTGCCCGTGATTTCGAAGGGGGGTGTGTTTTTATAGGTAGAGGGAGCTAGGAGGCTCCAAATGGAGTGTAGTTTTCGCCCACACGATCGTGATCCGACGACGGAGAGCATGGAAGTGACTTAGATGGGTTATTGGGCTGTTTTGGAGGGGTGTTGGGCTGCAACCCAAAATAGGCCTTTGCGGTTATGCGGTTAATCGTTGGAGTATCAAACGAGCTCCAAATGCCACGAAACTTGACAGATGGTCTATCGGTGGTGTACCAAGGCCACTTGGCAAGCCTCGGTCCATTCCGAGAACGTTTAACACCCGCACACGAAAAGAGACAAGAGGGGTGCGCCGGTGCATGTGGGAGTGTCGGATTGCGAAACGGACAACGGGGAAAAAGCTCGGATGCATGAGACGAACACGTATGCAAATGAGATGCACATGATGACATGATATGAGATGCATGACATGAATAAAATGCAAAACAAAAGACAAAACCCAACCACGGAGGGAATCTCATAACACATAGCCGAAAATGGCAAGAGTTGGAGTTACAAAGATGGAAAGTTACATCCGGGGTGTTACAGCACACCCTCCAAAAGTATCAAGATAGACTTTGCTTGGTGATGAGTCCCTTACTCTCCTCACCACTCAAGCTTGTTATTGCATTTGAGAATGAGTGCGAAGCAAGATGGGATTTGGTCTCAAAGGATTGTCTTGGACGGTTGGAGTAAAAAGCCCTTTGAAGTTTTCACAATGAGAGTGGGTTCTCTCTCAGAACATATGATGGGAATGTAGTTTTCTTTGAGTGAACGGGTGCGATAGGTGGGGGTATAAATAGGAGGAACCAGAAACCTAACCGTTACCAACTTTTTTGCACATATCAGAAGTTCCTAAGTGATCAGCTTGAAAGCTCCAATGTGAACAAAGGTAGAAACTTCCAGACAACTAAGACGTGCTGGCGACCAAAAAGCATTTGGAAGCTCCAAGGCGCACAGTTGGGTAGTGGCATACTCTTTGTTATCATTTCAGCAATTTCGACCGTTTGCTTTCGAAATTCTAGTGTGGCAACAGAAGGTTTGCTAGACGCTTCAACGATTCCGAGAGGAATACTCTGATGCTTTGAGGGTAGGGGTTTGTGCAACGACTATATCTGGTGAATGGTTTGACAACGATTTCCGGATGAAAGAGCTTAGAAGCTCCAAAATGAATAACACCAAGTAGATATAGTCGAGTCATTGAGGGATGTTGAGGTGTTTTGGAGTTGGATCTTTAAACGCGTGGAGCAAGAACCTCATCATGACATCCTCAACCCCCCCCCCCCTTGATAGTATCGACATACCTATGGACTCAATTGATCTTATATCACTAAAATGAAGAAAGGGAATCCTCTGGCTTGTCCAACGCTCATCTTAGTGCAATTTCTAGGGGCCACCTTATATTTCTTTGTTGCACCCACAAGGAACAATTCATGAAATAAACTTGTCGGGGGTATTAGTTCCTTGAGATATGTTGACATTAATTAACAAAATCCACCTAGGAAATTAGATACACTTTCACGGAGACGATAACAATAGTTTTGAATAAGTATACAGGAACATGTTTAAAAAAAACTAATAATAGTCATTTTCCTATATACACAAAACATCAGGTTTCCCGAACCAAGTTTGTATATTTGCAAATTATTTAGAGCACCCAAACAAGTTACATTGTTAGTCAGTTTTTCAGGTTTATACAGATCCAGTCTTACATATTTCGCGTATGCAAGCAACCCCTTAGGGTGTTGAAAGGGCCGCTTAGTCATTTGTTATAGATATCTTTACTACGAAGGTACACATGAATGTTTTAATCATCAGAGTTAAAATATCTGAAGTGTTATGTTCATTATGACTGTATCGAGCTACTGTCAAAATTATGAATTAGAAATGCTAGATCATTGCAGTTTTTTTCGAGGGAAATGATTTCATTAACATGGAATACTTGCAGGTCTATAGCGTTTATTAAGAATGAATTTTGTAACCTTTTTGCTAGTGGAAGTTGTTTGGTTGCATTACATACAAATCTGATTTTGCATTTGTTTATCTTCTTCCTATACTTAATAGCCACTCCTACTAAATTCCATCGCTCATCTAAGATTAAGCATATCTGAACATTCTATTTGGCGCTTTGGTCACTTAAAAGATTATGTTTGATTGGTGCCAAAAGTTACCGAGATGACGATCTGCTGACAGAGTTGTATTTATAGCTTTGTATAAAAATAAATCAGAAAAAGTAATAGTTTTCTCAAAACTTAAATATAAGATGTAGGTAATTGGCACACAGGTTTGTTGACCATTTTTTCATCACAATATAAAAGGAGAAAATCCTTCCCGCGTTCCATCATTCTGGCCCTCACGAGTCATGCAAACCTTGGCCTGTCATGGCAACTTGTGTTTTCTCCTAGCGAAGCATGGACATTATGCTAATTAGATCACACTAGATTAAACAATTTTACTACATCAAGATGTGATTCTTAATCTTATAATATGCATGCCTTTAATTATACAAATGTTTCCTACAAGCAGTGGTAGTTATCACCACTTGCGTTTTGTATGTTGTATGTAGTATCTATCAAAATTGAGAGTATGTATGCGTAGTATGTAGTATATAACAATGATTAGGTAGTATATATACTAATTTTTAGGTAGTATATACCATGTTTTGAGTATGTTCTTTTTTACGTACAAATATGTACGTATTTCACAAATATAACAAAAACTATGGGTTCATATATAATTTTTTTCATGTAACTTGCTTTGAAATATCTTAGATATAGTATATGAATATATTTAAAATGATAAAGTAGTATATATATTACCACATGGTAGTATATGAGACATATGGGGTAACTACCACCGGGTGGTAGGATGGATTTTCTCTCTCTCTCTCTCTCTCTATATATATATATATATATATATATAGGGAAAATGCATCCTACTACCGGGTGTAGCTACACCCGTTTCTCATATACTATCATGTGGTAGTATATACTTTACTTTATTATTTTTAGTATGTTTATATACTATAACTAAGATACTCCGAAGTGAATTATATGAAAAATTGCAAGTGAGCCCATAGCTTTATTGTATTTGTGAAATACGTACATATTTGTACGCGAAATGGAGTATGCACAAAATATGGTAGATACTACCAAAATAGTAGTATGTATACTACCTAAATATTCTTATATACTACATACTACACGTACATACTCTTCGATTTGATAAATACTATCTATAACGTATGAAACAAAAGTGGGAGTAACTACACCCGGTAGTAGGAAAAATTTGTCCGAAGATTTGTTTTCCTCGTTGGCTCGTTGCAATGCACATGCAGATTCCTTATAAAAGGAAAATGAAGGAACAATCCATATCACCTCTCTTATCATTACACGTCCAATGTTTTCGATCCATTTGTCAAAATCTTATACCTCTATTAGAGGATGACGTGTTGTGACGTTTGACTTTATAAACTTTGAACAAGTTTATAGAGAAAGTTATTTATATCTGTAATACTAAATATATAAGATATGAAACTATATCTTGTAATAAACATAATGATATACGCATGTCACTCTAAATATAAATGCTTTTTGTCCAAAAATCCGGTCAAAGTTTGTGACGTTTGACTTCTAAAAAATATATACGCACTACATTATGAAACGGAAGAGTATTAATAAATATATATTTATTGTAAAATATATTTTCATTTATTTATATTATTATTAGGTGGATGATAATAGATGTAACTATTTTTTAGAATATTTAATAAAAACTTCCAAATATGGATCCTTTCCACGGCGTTTTTTATCGTGGTCTCCACCAAATACTCTGCCGTCGGCTCGTCGCCCCCGCGCTCCACTCGACACACTCCGATCCGGACAGCCGCCGTTACTGCTAGCACTCCAACGGATCCACCCGGCCGGCCGGCGACCATGGAGGAGGAGCTGCACGCGCTGCTCCGCGACCTCGACGCGCTCAAGCAGCTCCCCGACCCCGCCTCCATCGACCGGGTAAGCCGCCGTCCGCTCCCTCCCTCCCCAGATCTCGATCCCTTCCTCCGGTCGCCGCCTCACATCTTCCTCTCCCCTGCTGACAGATGCGAGATCGCGTGGTGAAGATGATGGGCCCGTCCGGCGCCGCTGCCGCCTCCCGGTCGAAGATCAAGGTACGATCCGATGATGGTTTGCCATGCTTCTTCTAAGCGGCGAATTGGATGCGCCGCGCCGTCTGTGTGTTTGTGGAATTGACCGTGGTTTGCGGATTGGGGTTGTGTGGCGCAGGACATGAGCGCGGAGGTGGTGGACAGCAACCCGTACAGCAGGCTCATGGCGCTGCAGCGGATGGGCATCGTCGACAACTACGAGCGCATCCGCGACTACTCTGTCGCCATTGTGGTATAAGCATCTGCTGCTCTCATCTGGCTTCGAGACGTTACTTGTAAAATTCTAAAGCAATTTGAGTTGGCAATTGGTATTGAGCAGACACAGTGGTTAACAACATGTACTCAACCCCACGGGAGTTTGATGTCAATGCAGTAATAGCCACATTAAATCTTTCAGATTGTTCTAGAAAATTTATCTTATGCAAGACTCAAGGCAGAACATATTTGTTTGGTGAAGATCTTGGGTGAAGCTCAGTTATGATGAAATCACCAATTTGTAAGATCAACTTGTAGTCATGGAGCTAAATGTAATTATAGATATACGATATGCAACTTAGCTTTTTGTCCGCCAAGCATATGTCCACGGTTAGTTGTCTGCCCTTGCCCATCAGAAAAGAAAGTGATAGTATACAGGTATTCTTTTAGGGTGGTAGTATCGGTATTGGCATTACTAGTAAGGAAAATGTAGCGCAAATGTATGTTTTTAACAGCTGCCGTTTTTCATCTAAGGCTAACTTCTAGTAATTTAATTGAATTTCATGACACACAATTGTTTGTCTCGTTCACACATGCCATTTCTGCACAAAATTACAATCCTACTAGACCAATACATGGTTTTTATTGAGTTATATGGAACAACAGAAAAGAAATGGTTGCAACTGTACAATTTACTTGCGCAGAACATTTCTTCGCTGAAGATCAAACATTTCTTAGTTTACCAGATCAAACTTTGGACTTTTTAATGTTCTTGATACATTAGTACATGCTCCACAGGGTGTAGGTGGCGTTGGTAGTGTAGCTGCTGAGATGCTCACTAGATGTGGAATTGGACGCCTCTTGTTATATGACTATGACACAGTTGAGTTGGCTAACATGAATAGGCTGTTCTTCCGCCCAGACCAGGTAAGCTTCCAGGAAAATGTTTATCTGCTTCTCCTTTCTGTGCATGATACCATCATGTGCATTTTCTTAATATACATAGTGCAAGTTTATTTTCTGAAACACTATTTACACTCTTTTACTGAATTGATTATACCTACTACTCTCCAAGAGTATAACATTGGCCAGACTAATAACTGTATCCTTGTGCTGTTAGGTTGGAATGACTAAGACTGATGCTGCTGTGCAGACACTTAGCGAAATAAATCCTGATGTCGTATTGGAGGTGAGAACTGTGGTCATTGGTGACAGTCATCTACGCGCCTGCCCTTACCTTAAGCAAATTGATCCTTTCATCAGATTCATGACACTACATGTTTTCATAGAAAGGCAAAGAATGTAGGTCTCACATTTTTCAGGATAAACATTTTTCTTTACCCAACGCTGCCCACTTGCAGTGCTTATCGGTATCCATATCCATAGAATTTGTTTGACCCAAGAGAATTTGCCGTTGATATAGTGGATCACATCTTCTAATTCACTATGCTCCCTAATTTTAGAGCCCTCCCATTGAATTGAGGTGCTCAATTTCGAATTTGGTTCACAAGCTTGACCAGGTGAACGATTTCTCAAGGAGCTCTCCCATTCAATTGATATTTTCTAATTCACTATGCTCCCTAATTTTGGAGCCCTCTCACTCAATTGAGGTGTTCAATTTTAGATTTGATTCACGATTTTGACTGGGTTAATGATTTCTCAAATTAATCGGCATCAACCAGCCTATAAAAACACATAAGTCCTGTGCACCCTGTCACCACCTAGAAAAAGAAGCGCCAACATGTGACATTCTAGCACCCATATAGTATGTGCAGCCACCAGTGCAAGAAACCTCCCCACATAATCACACCACCAAGAAAGCCCACCAAAACACCATATTATAAAAAATAATAAAACACACTCCATCATTTTCCCCATGCAGCCAAACCAAAGAACAATTTTTTTAAATCCCAACAACACCAAAGGTGCGGCGAAGTGCGCCCAGCCCTTCTAGTGTTACACTATTCCTGCTTTGTTGTAAACTGACATCATTTGTTTTCTTCCCACAGAGTTATTCGTTGAATATCACAACAGTGAAAGGATTTGAAACATTTTTGGGTAGTCTCAAAGCTAGGAGCTCTAATGGGCGCAGCACTGGAGTTGATCTTGTTTTGAGCTGTGTTGATAACTATGAAGCTCGTATGGTTGTCAATCAGGTGAAAATTAGTGAACATCATACATCCATGATTTTGTGTAGCACTTCATCAATCCTCTCAACATTCTCATTCTCTGTGGCTTGTTAACTTTGCATGTAGCTCTGCATTTCTGTGATTCAGTGGTGCATTATTTGTTTTTATACTTGCTTTTCAGGCTTGCAATGAGCTTCGTCAAACATGGATGGAATCTGGTAAGCCCAAAACCTGCATTTAATTATTGTTATGCCCTATTGAGAATGTATTTACTGCTTTTTGGATACCGCTCATATTATCCGCACTCATATCTTCATGCCAATTGTTCTATCTCGTTGTATCCTGATGTACATAGAAATTTTATTGTCCACCTTGCCTTTAAAAGTTGCTACTTGCTCTACATCCCCTTATACCTGTATATGCATTGGATAAACTCATCCACAATATATTATTACTGTAATTCCTGGTTATGAATTAATCCTTAGGTGTTGTTCAAGAGTTTAATTGAATACAAATCTTTTTACAAGAACATGGTGGCCTCTATGGCACCCAAGAATTTGGCAGGAACTCTTATCAAAACAGTTCAATTTGTACATGAATAGACGAAAGAATCTTGTGTTCCTGTGACCTTATTCTTTTACAGTTCTACTTTAGTACTTGCTAGATTTGTTATGAGGCTGCTCAAGCTAGATGCAAATATAATAGCATTTGATTGGTTCAGAAAATAGTGCAGATTGCAGAGCATGCTACTGAATTAGGCGAGGTTATGTTTCGTAAATGTGCACCCTAGGTCCCATACTTGCATTTCATGGAAACACACTACATTCTTAAATCATATTGCAGCACCAAGAATAGATGCTTAGTTGTTGTTACCTACGCGACTAGCCCTTGGTGAGAAATACACAATTAAATTGTGACATATTTTCGCCTTCATTTCATGCTAATTCTCTTCATTTATAATAATCTCATCAATGTGAAATGCACTTGACATGAGAATTTATGCATCAGGTGTGTCTGAAGACGCTGTTTCTGGTCATATACAGCTATTAGTTCCTGGTGAAACTGCATGCTTTGCATGTGCTCCTCCATTGGTACTTTCTATGTATCTCAGATTTTGTTCTCTTCACGTCGTTCCTTAATAGTGTGCTATTATGCTTTTGATTTTAGTTTCTGCCTGTTTTCATTCTTCACAGTTGATCTAATTAGTTGAGGACTTGAGATGTCCCTTTGCATTTCCTGTGTTTGTATTTAATCTGTTAATCTTTTGGTAACCTGTTTGTGGTACTTCTGTGTAAAGGTTGTAGCATCAGGAGTGGACGAGCGTACTCTTAAGCGAGATGGTGTTTGTGCTGCCTCTTTGCCAACTACAATGGTGAGCCCTTTACTTCGTTCACTTTCGTTTTTGCTTTGTTGTTTTCTCACCCGACAACAATTTGCTCAAAGCTGTGGAAGCTTGGTTCTGATTAGTCACATTCTTGTACCTGTTTAGCAGCTATAAGTGGGACACCGGGAGCGTTACTAATTTGGTTTTGGACTTTTAGATATGCTTATCTACTGTACTGTTGACTCTCAGCTTATATGTTAAGTCTACTTTTGTTTCAATTGGATCTTTGCATTGCTGGACATAACTGTAATGCTGTGCACCATTCATTTAACGACTTAGCACTACATCCCAAAGTGGCAATGCATTCTAGTCACTCTTAGTCACAAGATTCATGTCTCAAAGTTAACCAAAACCATTCTGAACATTTCCCATGTCCCATTTGTTTTGGCTGATGAACATATTCTTTGCAGGGTGTTGTTGCTGGACTCCTGGTCCAGAATTCTCTGAAATATCTGTTGAAGTTTGGACAAGTTTCCCCTTATTTGGTAATTGCTTCAATCTTGCTGTTGTGATGCTGCGAACGCTGTTGGCATGTTTTAAATGACATAATTGGGCTCTCTATTTTTGGAAGGAAATGGTCGCAAAGCAGTAGTTTCTTAGTATCATTTTCGTTCCTGTAGGTTGAAAGGTTTCCCCAATGTGGCACATGTTTATCCAACATATTCATCTCAAAATTCTGAACATTTTCTAATTATCATATTTTTGCGACGTCCTCCTATTTTTGCAGGGATATAATTCACTTAAGGATTTTTTCCCAACAATGGAAATGAGACCAAATCCACAATGTTCAAACCCAGCATGTCTTGAGAGACAGGTGCTTATTTTCACCCTTGCTTCCTTTTGGTACTCTTTGCTAGTTACAATTGTGACTGTTTCCTAATGGTATCCTGGTGTTCATCATTTTTAGAAAGAATATATGCATTCAAAACCTGCTAGAGATGCAGCGGCAAAGGCTAAGATGGAAGCTGAAGCATCCGCAGCAATTGAATATCCGGTTCACATGGATAACGAGTGGAACATTAGGTACATCATTCCACATGACAATCATTCTTTGTTACATTAAACTTTGTTTTGCCCCCTATTCGGATTGAATTCCTTCACAGATATAAACACATAGCAGATTTTGCTCTAGATGTGATTACTACCAAGCAATATAATCATAGTTCAAAAAAGCGCTAGGCGTTAATTGTGCATTTTGCCACCGCCTTGCGCTTTACTGACCAAAGCGCATGCTTATGCGCAGTTATGCACAGATTAAGCATAGTTATGCACAATGCGTTTTGCCAACGCCTATAGCCTAGGCGCGCCTAAGCGCTCGCTTAGGCGCGCCTTTTTTAACTATGAATATAATTAGAGCATCTCCAACAGCTTACCTATCCCTAAAAACTGCCATGATGACCTAAAACAGCTCCAGTAGATTACCTATCCCTAAAACTGCCACAAAAAAACCTTGCATTGACTGATTATTGATCAACTAATGTGGTCCCCTGATTGAATGTTGTCATATCCTCTGAATTTCAGATTCTCACCCAAGTTAGGTTAGAAACTTAGACATGAAATTTCTCGGTGTAAATTAGGCGTGCTATCTCCTGCCAACACTGCAGATCTACAGATCTGTGCTATGATTTTCAGCAGCTTTTCCACAGCAGACAGCAGACAGCTGCTTATTTGAAAGCCACAGCAACCAAACACCCCCTAACCTAACTGTTTGTTCAGTGTTGTTATCCATAGTTCCATACCAAATGAGCTAGATTGTATGTGTTTTAAAATGTTCTCAAGTCTCAACCCTATATTGAACTTCTATGTTTGTTCATGTAGATCTTCAGAACTATCCAGCCACTATTTGCAGTTTGATGCTTGCTGTATTTTTATGATTCTGCTTTTCTGTATATACATAATACAAGGATTCCTTTATATACTTCCAGAGTATGTACACCCACATTCAGTATACCTCTTAAATGAATCTATTATACCTCTTTATCATTCTCGATATATACCATACTAAGATGCCTCAATACAAGTGTTATGAAAAACATCACCGGGGCCTCTAGTTTTTGCAATATAGCATTTTTATGTACAAATAAGCAATATACACAAACTACGCAAAATGTATTTAGTCGGAAGGAATTTTTCATAGAACTCACTTTGGGGTACCTAGTACTCCCTCCGTCCCGAATTACTTGTGGCAGAAATGGATGTATCTACAACTAAAAATATGTCTAGATACATCCATTTCCGAGACAAGTAATTCCGCACGGAGGGAGTAATTTCTAATGAAGTATATTAAAATGGTAAAGAGGTATAGTTGATTCATCTAAATGGTACTACCTCTGTTCCTAAATATAAGTCTTTTTAGAGATTCCAATGCGAACTACATACGGAGCAAAATGAGTGAATATATGTATGAGGTTTGTATTGAAATCTCTAAAAAGACATCTCTACTACTATAGTACATGTTTTTTTGAATATCTGAATCTACCTTCGTCTCACATGTTTAGCCCGCCTCTTCCAATATGAATTCATTTATAGCCGTCGGATCTATTGGATCGAATGGCTTAGAGTGCATGGATTCGCCACTCACGTTTCTCCCGCCAACCTACAAACACCCGCACCTTCTGGAAGACTCCGTAACCCACGATTGCCTCCTGGTCCTAGCTGGATGCATGGAGAAAATTGATTGCTGGCCCCATCCGCTGTGGAGACGTGGAGCATATGGCTGCAGAGGAACGGGATCGTGCGCTGCATCGGCAGGGGCAGGCCGACAGGCAGGAATGGGGATCTGATTTTTTTATTCTTTTGATAAAAAGGAACGGGATCTGATCAAGGGTGTGGTGGTGTGCTGACGTTCTGCTTTTTTTTTACAGTGGCTATAGCTGCACAGTGGCAGGCTTAGTGGCCCGTATGGCCGAGCAGGGTGTCAACCAAAATTCGTAGTTCAACTCAGGCGGAAAGGAGGATGGCTATTTGCCACGCTTTTCAGGAGTTTTAGATAATATAAAAAAAAGCTACTACCATGCATATACATGTCTATGTATGGATTTTCCCAAAAAAAAGGTGTATATATAGACAGTCGGTGCAGATTTTTGGGACAAGGTTCTAGACGCACCCGATATAGCATTTTAATTTTTTAAATATATAAAAAAAATCAGAAAATGTTCTCCTGGCAAATATGATCGAGTGTTTTACTCTTAATGAAGAAATGACTACAGTATTCTTCTAGGTGGGAAAAATAAAATTGCAACTTACAAAGTTTAATAGTATTTTTGTAAAAGGAAAACAATATGCAAATAGTGAGTAGTATATTTTTGAAAGATTGAATAGTGACTTTCATATATAGAAATGTTTTTTTAAGAGAGGATCATGAAAGTCATTTCTTCATGAACCTATACACATGAGTATAAGACTAGACCATATTCGTTAAAACAAGTTTTAGAATTGTTTAACTTTTTTAATTAGGGCGCACCTATACCCAGGTTCCATTGTGTATTTTCATATACTTTTTTTCAATTCTTTCTAGATATGCGACCCTTTAATAATTCTAGCCTACCCTCTGGCTGTATTCCATCTACATCCAGGTGATATAGAACGCATAGAGATGATCATTTTCTCAGCAAAATATGATTCCATGACGTGAACTACCATTTTGTGAATATTGAATGCAGGTTTGTGAAGTACTACTCCCTCTGTAAAGAAATGTAAGTCCAAAAGGTCTTATATTTCTTTACAGAGGGAGCACGCACTAACCAACATTTCTTGACATATTTTGGCAATTTGAGAAAATGAAAAGTTATCAGGACATCATAACTTGGTACAGTTGCAAAGCTAAAACAATCCATGTAAAAGGTCCTCAGTTCGTATTGAAAATTCTTTTTGTGTGAAACTTTTTTATTAAGAATGTACACGTGCAAAGCACGTGCCTTCGACTAGTATATATTTAATATATGAGGAATGGGAGCACGTACATCCTTCCCAGGTGTACAGAATTATTTTCCTGGTGAACTGATTAATCCATCGCAGAAGTTGCACGGAGTTTCTTACTCGCAGTGTTTTTCCCTTCTGCAGTGTTCTTGATGATAGTGACACAGCAACGTCAAGCGTTCAAAGGGCTGCAACAGGTAAAACCAAATTCCAAGAGCGAAATATTTCCTTATTTATCATTCCTGATGTGTTTGTACCTCGTTTGGAAAATCCGTGCAGACATCCTTCCAGAAGGCCTTGTCCGCGAACTTCCAGATGAAGACTCCTACGTAGCGCCACCCGCACCAGCTAGCTCCGGCGCCATCGACGACGACCTCGAGGAGCTCCAGCGGCAACTCGACGCTCTAAACTCATCTTGACGCGGATCCGGCTCAAACAGTGCGTTGGAAACCCAAACCAGATACCTTCCGGCAGAACTAGCGATTTCAGTCAGATATAGCCTCTGCTCAGCAGAGAAATGTTAACTGCATTTTCCAGTCATGCAATTTTGGATCGGGCGATGTAGATTTTAAGAGGCTTATCAGAGGAGCAGCTTATGTAAGCTTTGTTATAGACAAAGAAGTTTGATAGAACTTGTGAACCGTGACAGCATACTGTAAAATCATGTTAGATTGGTACTGAACTTTCCATCAAGAAGTAAAAAAATACCGTATTTACCAAGAACGTACATACGTACTACTTTGCCAGAGTGGAAAAAGTCCGAAACAAACCAAGTAGATGAAAGCTAAATCAAACACTGAACTATGAATCTCGGAAATTGACGCTCTGAACTTACAATCTTGGTCTAGTTTGGACCCTAGACCTGTTTGGTACATTGGGAATACTACAATTCCGACTGAGATAACTTGCTACTCTCACAGACAAGAATTTCGGCCGGTCCACTATACCACGCCAAGAATTTGTGAAGTTTAAAGAATGTACGCGCATTTCTATAATGGTTCAAAAATTAAAAACTGTTCTTGTTTTCTATTTTTGGCATAAATTCAATTCCTTTTGTGTTTTTAAAAAATGTTTCGAATTTTGAAATTCTATTCGCATTTAAAAAAAAACTGTCAGCGATTAAAAAAAATCACATTTGTCAAAAAATGTTTAGAATTCCAACCTTTTTCTCATCCTATGAAAAATGTTTCGGATTTTCAAAATCGTGTCACATTTTTAAAATAATGTCTTTGGAATTTCATAAATTATTTGTGTTTTGAAAAACTCGGCATTTCAATATTGTTCACAATCTTTTTAAGAAACTAGTAAAATGCTCGTGCATTGCAACAGGAGAAATACAAAAATGTATGCACCCTAGTCTAACAGGCATGACTACAGGACACATCCCCCACTCTCATTCCATGATCTCTATTTGAACAAAGCGCCTTACCCGTGTTACCACCTATCCTCCTTCTTGCCTTCGCCGATCGTGGATGGGTTGTCCATCTAGTTACATCACGTCTAGACATTGTTAGGATTTTTGTTTTTACGGGAGACATTGTCAGGAATTAATTGCACAGAAGTACGACAATTAGGGCATTACATGCGGATTGGTACCACTTTTGGTAATTTTTACATGTCAGTACCAAGTCTGGGGCTAGCCGTTACAAAAGGGTCTAAACCGCGTATAAACACGTATTGACGGGGTATCTGACCAGTAGGGCCCGCTTGTCGGGTGCCGACGTGGCATGTTTTTTGCAGAAAGCCCCCTTGCTTTGCCGGCGCTACTGTTCATCGTCTCCATGCGCGGCGGCACCCGATCTAGATCTAGGGGAGGAGCCCCTCGAGCCCGAGCTCCTTCACCTCCCGTAACCGCCGCCTCGCCCCGGCCTCCACCCCGCCTCACGTGCGTGCAACCGAAGCAGGGGAGTCAGCGGGACTTGGCGCAACTCCGGCGACAGGGAGCGACGGAGGGCGCGGGAACTGATGGATCTGGACGGCGACTCGCGCGGCGGAGGGCAGGAGGGGCGGCGCTGGTCCTCTGTTCATACGACAGAGAGGGAGGAAACAGAGAGGCCGCGAGGGGACCTGGTCACCGACGATGGCTGCTCCGGCGAGGCGCATGGGGCGGGGTCGACAAGACCCTCGGGCGGAGGCGGTTGGGAGGAGGAGCCCGGGCATGAGGAGGCGGCGGCGCACTGGTGAGCGAGCTAGAGATCTAGGGAGGAGGCGCGAGGGGTCCTCGTGGCTGCTGCTGCTCGCCGACGACGGCTGGGGATGGGGTCGGCGAGACCCTCGGGCG